CTAGAGCATCCACCCTATTGGACATATTGGTCACTGGCGACAAGCAACCCCAGTCAGTTCAAACATCAGGGTACAGCGTACTTGGTGGCTCACTTTTCTCCAGGACTTGCGTAGACATGTCATCGAATTTCGTTTCAAGCTGAGTTAATAGTGACTCGACCTAGATGTGATGGGCGATTATGTCCATGTGTGAGTACCATTTGACGAGGAAAAACGTACAAATGCGGTCAACTCGTGCGGACTTGAGATCTCCTCCGGTTTTGCCAGAGCTGTTGTCTTCGTGGGAGTCTTCGTACCACTCTGCGACGAGGAGCTGGTTGATGGCTTTCCGTTGGCGGGTACATTTAATGGTTTAGCAGACATGGTGGACAGGGTGGCGAGTTGAGTTGAGGCGTCCCGCTCACGGACGTAACACGGTGATAAACCCAGCACGTCACGCAAGGATCTCAGGAGGGCCTTGCAATGTGAACCGAACGGCCGAGGACAAGGCCCGCCCATTCAATCCGACTCAAGACCACTACCACTATGACACACCTGCTCGCCGGCCGATTACCCAGGCCTCGTCAACCACCTTCGAAGCTACTACGTCGCGGCATCCGCTCGCAGTATAATCCCACTCCCGAACCTACCCGGAACACAGCTGGGATGCATGCGGGAGGGATGTCTCATTGGGGAATACCGTTGGCTAGCCCACGGCAGGTATACTTACTTTCATCGGTGGAAGTCGTTGTGTTGACACGATGTTATAGCTCGTCCAGTATCTTGATTCCTTTGTCGTTGGACAAGAACGGGCCAAGAAGATCCTCTCTGTCGCGTACGTTGCCTTTGCTTTCTAGTAGGCACGTAAGCTGACTCCTATACGCCCTAGTGTCTATAACCATTACAACCGGATACGAGCTAATATGCAAGCATACGAGGACGAATCCGTGCCAGGGTCTCCTGGCTGGAGGGATGGAGCCCCGATTATCGAGGTGCCTCCGTCAGATTTCGCCACTGGAAGCAACGCTGGACCTTCAAGTGCGGTGCTACACCCGCACCCCTACAGACGTTTTTCAAGTCCCCACTTGTCGCCCCGATTCGCTGTCCCTTTTTTTGAGAAGAGCAATGTCCTGATGCTTGGACCGACGGGTTCGGGAAAGACGTTACTGTCCAAGACATTGGCTAGACTCCTAGATGTTCCATGGGCAACTTCGGACGCTACCAGTACGTTCGTTTCCTCGATGGCATAAGTCGTCCAACTTGACTTATATTTACAACATTGCATCTTAGCTCTCACTCAGGCAGGCTATGTCGGAGATGACGTAGAATCAATCATACAGCGCTTACTACAAGCCGCTAACTGGGACGTCCGGCGTGCGGGTATGGGCATTGTTCACATTGACGAAGCTGACAAATTAGCCCGTCGGAGTGGCCTTTCTTCGTCAGGTGACGGTGGCCGAGATGTAAGCGGAGAAGGGGTCCAACAAGCTCTTTTGAGGATGTTAGAAGGGACTGTTGTCAACGTAAAGGGGGGAGGCTTGGATACCCCGTTCCAGCCATCTCCACTTACAGGTCGGGATAGCCAGCCTAGCTCAGGACCTTCTACCGATAACGCATCATCTCCTAACGGCCCGAATCCACCAAGCTCTGGAACGCGGAAGAAAAGTTCCAATGCCCCTACGTCCGCGGTGCCCAAGTCCGACACATACCAGGTTGACACCACAGATGTCCTCTTCATTGTGTCTGGGGCCTTTGTTGGGCTGGATAAAGTTATTCGAAACCGTGTTGCCAAAGGGGTGGGTACACTCAACATTCGACATACTTGGTCAAGTCTGACAGATAGACATTCAATCAGTCTATAGGGTTTGGGGCGCCGATTGCCAACAAAGATGAGAACTCCTTCCTTAAGAGACTATCAAGTCAGTCATCGTCAGACTCTGGGAGGAACTTCATGCCCTTCTTCACCCCCAACGACAAGAAAGAAATGAATATGCTTGACCTCGTCGAACCTGCTGACCTTCACACATATGGGTATGTGTATTCAATCCTCCATTGATAGCTTTGCTAAAACTATGCTGGGATAGGTTCATTCCTGAGTAAGATACACCTGGAAATGAGGAAAGCATAACCATTCATTGCCTCTACACTCCTCCAGATTCACCGCACGACTTCCAAGCATCGCCGTCCTTCACGAACTCTCGACAGCGGATCTCCTACGGGTACTAACAGAAGTTCATGGTGCACTTGCGAAGCAATACGAAGCCCTTTTCAGCGTATCAGGAATTGAGATCCGATTCACCACACTGGCGCTTCGCGAAATCTGTCGCAAAGCACAACAGCGTGGTGGAGGAGCCAGAGGCTTGCGAAGCATCATGGTCAGCCCGTTCTGTTCCGATTCGGTGCCTGTTGGTCGTGCTTACTGTCACCACCGTAGGAAAACCTTTTACTGGAGCCGATGTATGAGAGTCCGGGATCTGTATGTCCAGTGACCTCTGGCCCGTCCAGTCGCTGATATGATTTTTTTTTTTTTTTTTTTTTTTTTTTTTTTTCCAGAGCGTACGTTACGTTCTGATAGACGAAGCTGTCGCGCGTGGCGAAAGACCTGCACACTATTGGTCAAGATCGGAAGGGGCCGCTTTCTACGCTATGATTGCCGAAGAAGAGAGGCGCGATGCCGAGCAGCAGCGAGCACTCGAACAAAGTGAAGAAGAGACTGTCGGGTCAGGCCAGGTAGAAGGCGAAAATGATACCCAGCATGGGGCGGCTCTGGAGACTCCCAAGCGGAGAGCTTCTGGTGGTTCCAACTTTCCCTAATGGACGCAAATCCGCATGATGAGCCACACGCATCTTGTGGGTTGTATCAGGACTGATGC